ATAAAAGAGTATAGGTAGATTTTGGTAGGGCTTATATTTTCAAATCAAGACCCCCCAAATTTCACGATAATCTGATTTCACGATAATCTGTAACAATTATTAAAGCTTAAGTATACTCTGGACACTTTTGAACACTTGAACATTTGGATATTGGACAGTACCAAAAAAACCTTTGGACAGTCAAAATATATATCCCTGCCTGTAGTAATGTTTAGCAATACTCTAAATATTAATTTATAAAATTTTAATTGGCACCAGAATACCCTTTCTCCCTTATATATAATTATAAAAAAAATTTTCTTGCTATTTACAAATCTATTTTTCTATTGTAAAACAAAACCAACTTGATTCTGTGCTTTATCTTACCCCCAGAAAGGGAGAATTTGTAGTTTACTTAGTAAAATTTTCTTTCAAAAAAAAATTCCGAATTGTTTCGTGACTATATAAAAAATTTCCGAAATAGCCCGTAGCCCTATATATATTTATCTAAATTTTTTTATTATGAGGAAGAAGGGATAATATAAAACACAGAATCAAGTTGGTCTCGCCTAAACAATATAGAAATAAACAACCAATCAAAATAAATTTCTGTCTTGCTCTCCCGCACTCAAGGAATCAAATATAAATCAAAACTTTACGAAACTACAATAACCGACCAAATTTAAAAAATTTAAACCAGGTCTTTTGATACAGTTAACAATAACAATTTAAGAAATTAATGTAATAAAGAGTTTAAGCGAAAGCATTTCCGGTACCAATAAGCGGTAATATATCTTATCTTCTAAACAAAGTCCGTGAGAAGTATGATTTGTGATTCTTCTGCGAAGTGATCTTTTAAAGCTAGAAACAGTTACGTTCTCAAAAAGTACTTTAAAGTATATAGATAGGTTACCCGGGATTTACATCTATGTAACGGTAATTATCTCAAGCATAAAAAAACCGTTCCTTTATGTTACACGAAAGACATCTGATTTGCCAGTTAGATCTGATAGATCAATAGAAAGATTCTGATATCGCGATCAGGGGCAGCAATCAGATAATGGCTAATCACAGTACAAATCACACAATTGAAAAATGCTTTCATATACCAACGTAGCTCGGCCTTCTTCAGGAATTCACCTGTTATTAAGATGTCAAAAAATTTCTTCTTTACCAAAAATTTCACCTTTCGCTCATGGCTTCGCCTTTCGCCAGAAGTTTTGTGTTTCTCCAGGAGCTTTGCCTTTCGCCAGGGATTTTCGCCAGGGATTTTCCATATCGTCGGATGGTTTAATCTTCCGTCTTTCGCCGGGTTTAGGTTTTGTCTTTCGCCATTTACATAAGACAGTTTCACCTAACAGCTATAATTTAGTGTACTCGCATAAAAGTCTTAACATGTCAACGTTGGTGAAAGAACATAAGCAACAAGAACATTTAAGTATGACTGCACGATTAAAACTATTAACAAGGCAATATGGCGCCTCCGCTATAGCTGTCTACTTTATCATTTCTAGCGTCGATTTCGGGTTGACATTCATTCTGATTCAATCCGGTGGTGCTGAACGTGTGAAAATGATCGAAGATTGGTTCACTAAAACATTTGGGGGGCTGGATAGTACTGAAGAAAAAGAATCTCCAACGTAAAGAGGACGATATTTCAAAGACGACCGTTATAAAAGAAAATTCGCGTGAAGGATATGTACATGATCAATCCAAGGACAATGACACCCGACACTCTCCTTCATGGGCGAGTACTTTTGTTATCGCGTATGGCATTCACAAAGTTTTGTTTCCTCTTAGATTAGGATTGACAGCTGCGTTAACTCCACCATTAGTCAGAAAATTGAGGAAGATGGGGTGGAATATTGGAAGATCGAATAAAATCCAATAGTAAATTCTTAATTACGTCATCTTCGTTGTCATTCTTCGATTGATTACTTTTTATACTAGATTGATGTAATTAATTTTCTTTACTCGCGTGTTTCATATGACCTGTTACGTACGTATGGGCAGTGTCGATGTCCAAAGCCTTTTGGCAATGTCCAGTTCAATGTCCCGTCTAAACGTCCAAGTATGTCCAAATTTCAACAATTAATTAATAAATTTATATAACAAAATATAAAGGAGATTCGGGCATTATGACGAAGCAGCTATTGTGATTAATCATAATATCGTAATCGGATGTTTTTGGTGCCATTCGATTCGTTTCAGAGATGAGTCAAATGGCACCCAAACTATCCGATTCTGGATTGTATATTATGATTCATCATAATAATGATTTGTTATAATACTCTGATTTTCTTTATTAATCTGAATTAAATAAATTTAATATTATTTAATTGGAAATGGTATTTCTAGATTTTAAAATACAGTCAGGCCTCTCTAAATACATAGCCGAGTGGTGGCCAAAAAATCTTGCATTTAGAGAGATAAAAATCTATAAGTGTTATATGAGTTAGGGCCAAATAATGTATGTATTTAGAGAGGTCTTTTATAGACTATGTATTTAGGGAATATGCATTTAGGGAGGTTTGTAATTTAGTTTATTATAATACTGTATTTAAATTTTATACAGTACCGGACAGCAAAAAACATCCAATATTTATATATAAAATATTATAACTCAAGTCCAAATAACTTCAAAAAAAAGTTTTTTACAGATTTGTTGCTTTTAGCTTGAGCTACAATTCTATAAGAATAGATTTATATTTATCTTATAATAAAAAGTTATTATAGTTTAAAAGTTTATATGTAATCAAAAATTTGGTATTTACTATATAAAAAAAGCTATCTATATTTAATATGTTTGCTTGACTTAATAAAGTTTTAAATATTTCAATAATAAATATGTTGTTGCCAATTAAGTTAAACAAATATGTTACTTGACTTAATGTATCAAAGTGGTTAAGAAATTTGTTTATATAAGAAAAATATAAGAAAAGCCTAAAATTAAAATAAAACACTATAAAATAACTAAATAATAAATTAAAAATAATCAGTTTTATTTAGATTTAGAGAAAAAAAATTCTTTTAGACAATTTCTTGATCAGCAACAAAACAAATCAAACTACAGTAAAAAGTTATAGAAAAATGACAAAGTGAATACTATGATATTCTTGTTTCATATCAACAAACTTGCTATTAACGAAGCTTTAATATATAAAATACTGAAAAACAGGTATATAACAACAAGCAGGCTGTGTCTTTAGGTTAAACCTCTGGTAGATGCTTTTGCATTTTCAACATCCAAACTAAAAGAATATTTTGAAAGCAATATTATTATAGATCTTTGTGCAAGAATATCAAGTAGAAACAGAAAAACTAAACTATACAACTGTAACTTTTACAAAAAGAATTTCATATATTTTTATTGGTCTACCATTTTTTCAAGGAAATTTTTGTAAAAAGTAGGCATTTCAGTTTATTTTCTCTAAAAGATCGATATTATATATACCAAAACAGTTAGTGTTATTTATTTTTTAAATCAGTACAACAGGACAACAAATATATCAAAATATATGTCTTAAATACAACAATCTGATAAACAATATTTTAAGACTAAAATCGAGTACTAGTTCTCTATATTTGTAGTCAATAAAGTTTTTTCTACTTGTATATACTATTTAGATAAATTTAAAGTAAAAATTAGTTTATTTAGTAGTATGTAATTTTTACAAGCCTTTTACAAATTTATAATAGTGATCATTTTGTTTTTGATATTTTCTTATCTTTTTTCCTTTTTGCTTATATCTTTTATCATATTTTCTTTTACTTCTTTTTTGTTTTTTTTTTGTGTTTATATTTTCATTAATTTGGTTTTTTTGATGAAATGATCTAGCTACCAAAGCTAATAATTAAAGAACTCAAATCCTTAATAAGTTAAAAATCTAATATGAAGTTAATTGCTACTAAATAGATTATTCTTAGATTTAGCTTGAGTTGATTTTTATTAGCTTTAGTATATATAGTGCTTGACAAAAGTTTCTCGCACTTCTAGCTTTTACTAGATCATGTGCAGATATGTGAAACTTTATTCACGTATAGTATATTGTATATGCAGATTGTATTAATATTCTTTAGGTATGATTGATAGTAAAAATACTTGCTTCAATCATGTATAAAATTTTAGCCAAAAAAATATCTCTCGTATTATATAAACGATATGAAATTATTTTTTTAAGCACCTATTCAAAAGGCCTGAAGCTTTCAATTCATGAAACAGCAAAGCAAGTTCATTGTGATAAAAGTTTTGTGCAAGAACTTAAGTGACAAACCAAGGTTGGGTTGTAAAAGGACCACTATTCAAAGACAAAACAAATGGATTTTGGAGCTGAGAAAAGAAAACAAAGACATTACAGCCCCAAAAATCTATCATGAACTAATGAAA